CATCGCAGGCAAGAAGATGTTCATACAACGGTTTGAACTTAATAGAATAATTCATGTGCATCCACTGTTCTAGGATTGTAAAAACTGAACTTATTTGAGGCAGCTGAGAATAACTCAAAAATAAAAAGTAGCCACGTTTCTACGTGAAGATGCCACGTAAAGACTCTATTTCAGTGAAGATGCTTGTATGGCTCCTGAAGGGCACATCTTCTGAACAGTTCAAGAGTAAAGTACTGCTCAGAGTTTTGTCAGTTTGTAGAGAAGAGAGTGTTGCTTTTAGCAGCCATTCTTATTCACACTGAGTAATTCGTTGCTCCGTCACCAGTCTCACCAAGAGGGGTAGAATTGCTTCTGGAGAACTAGAGGTGGGTGGACGAGCAGTATCCGCCCCTCAGTGGAAAGTGTTATATGTGGCTGCCGAGAAATGTGTTGAGATATTTACCTTGGAGAGAGGAGAACTTATATAAAAGCTGATGCTAATAAACATGTAATGAGCAACTGCGGAAATGAAATTGGTGAAAGGGTATGAAGAGAAAATAAATTAATAGCAGCTGCTATGTTAGGGGCTTAGGTTTGTTGAAAGTATGGGTTTATGTTATTAAGAAATATTATAAGACTTCTAGATTAAGCAAGAGTTGGGGCGGGGGGAGGAACTGTGAACTTCCAGGTAAAGATTTTGTCAGGATGCATGGGCATAAAGGACCAAAATAAGATCATGCATGCTACCCTGATTCTGACATTTCCTAAGATCTGAATGCCTAACTTGGCAGTCTTAATGTTTCTTTAAACTATTTTGCCTATGTAGCTATTTACATAGTGACCCAAAGCACACGTGACATTTTACAGAAAATAGAGTAGAACTGTAGTTGTCAAGTGTTTGCAATCTGAATTTATTTAAGTCACAGGAGGAGCTAGTAACAAACAGTAGGGGTAACTGTTAAAAACATACTGCTTAGTGCTTAGGTAGCTGTGGTAACCATAGTATGTTCCTAAAAGTAGGTAGGAGACCAGAATTTAGGCAGAAATACTACAATTATAATGAAGCTGGGAATGCTGGGAATCTAATCTGGCTATACTGAATGCATGACTTTGTGTGGTTGGATTTGTTATGGTCAAGTCATAAAGGACATGCACAGACTTTTGAAGATGCTGGCCTAGGCTTCAACAGCTTGAGTTGGTTCCAAGTTTATCAACAAATTTCTTTTGATATGGTAAGTCACTTAAGGCCAGGTTTTTCAAAGGCACTGAAACAAATAAAGATCCAGATAAAGATACAGTGAGGCACTTTTGAAAATCAGAAATCTCTACAGGCAGCTGTGGGTGCCTCAGTTTCCCACCTGGACAGTAGACACACTATTAGTTTCTTGTGATGTGCTCATACTGGTTTTTGCATTGATAAGTTCTTTAGGGATTGTCTCGTTTTTGGATTTTCAGTGGCAAGTGTGAAGATTCCCTGATTTGGCTCTAGGTTATACTTAGTTGGAGTTCCTCATGCTCCTAAAATACATCGCCATTACAGAAGATGTCTTACTGTGGTCATTATGAATTAGAGAACCTTTATTTTCTTGGACTGTTTGAACTCTTGTGCTTCCTTAAGGGGTGTTGTTTCTCACAAACTAAATGTAAAGTAGGTATGTCTTTCATATCTCTGGCAAGTGATTTGGAGCAAAAGGGAAGCCCATGTTACAATGAAAGTCTGAATTCCTTGACTAGTGAATTGATTGTGTAGAATATTTTGGTCTCATGACATTTGGTTTGTTTCTTTGTTATTTTATGTGCATTCCATGCCTTTTCTGTGTGTACCATGTCCCTGTGGGTTGTCATGCAGTACAAGAATACTTCTGATTAATGTGGCATTCAGTTAAAAGGAAGATCAGGGAACTGTGTGATCAGCTGACATTGTGGCAGTAGTGTGTGTAGTGAAAAAACAGGCCCTTGGAAGATTGTATCTGTGTCATCCAAACTAACATCATAAAGTAGATGAGAAGTTGCAGGGTGAAATTGTAGCCCATAAAATCCATTGGGAATTTTGTAAGGATTTCAAATACAGTTTTCACTTTTAGGAAATTAGAACTAAGAAGAGGTAATCACATAGAAAGGCTGGCAAGTGGAGAATCTTGACAGCTATGTAGATTCTGAGACTGTTGAAGAGGTATTTCTTTTTATGGACATATGTCCATTAGCAGAACAAATTGAAGGGTCTGGAAAACAGTTCTGATTTGCAGTCCATTATGTTCAAATTAGAAATGCAGTATCAAGAAGTTATCATCCAGAAAACACTGGGAAGTATGTTAGCCATATAATAAAAGCCATTAGAGAGAAGTAACTGACATAGTAATGGCTTAAAAAAAAAAAAAAAAGAAAGAGGGAAATGCCCTTCATGTTAAACTCAAAAGGAGGGCCTGTATTTGGTGCCTCTCGGGACAGCTGTATCCTAGCAATTCTAGTTAATAATAATAAACGTAACAAAAGTTAAGATGTAGTAGTAAAATGAGCCTTAAAAAACGAAGAGTCTGTAATTTATATCATGTTGTGTCAGGTAATCGGATTAAAATAAACTAACGTTTGCATTTATTTATATTTAGGAGAAAATGAAGTGTAGCTGTTTGAGTGCTGCTACATACATTCCATCCTGGAATGAAAATCACATTGTTTTGACTGCGTTATTTCTGTATCCATGCAAACCATCCTCATCACTCTATAGTTCTTACCTCCTTAATGCAACCGGGGTTGTGTCATTTGAAATTAGTGGGTATAAGGCCCCTTGGAGAGATAAAGAGGAGCAGCTATTTCAAAAAAATGAAATGCTGCAGTCAGAGTTAAGAAGAAAGGGCATTTTCCTGGTAAATGTTTTCCTAAATGGGAATTTTTCAGTGTGGTGTTTTGCTCGTGTATTTGGCAGTCACTTGGAATCAAGTGCAGACTTGTGCTACATTGTGGGCTTGGCAATGACAATTTGTGTGTGTGTGGTGCTTTAGTTATATTAGCCCTGGAGGCAGAGTTAACACTTGCAGTGGGACAAGAGTATTTGCAGTCATCAGAGAACTTTGCAGTCAGCTTCAATAACATCACTCCATTTTTTTCACTTTTTTTTTTAACATTTTTTTTGGCAGCAGAGCTCTTAGTAGAACCATCTGTCTTTCTATTAGTGTTTTTGAGTCCTGTTTTGAAGCTTCTTTGCTTGGCAAAGTCACTTTCATCCTTGGAAACCATTTAAAAAAAAAAGTTCTGTGGCTCTTTGCCGAAGAAGAGTACTATGCAAAAATTCCACACGGCTGTTCATTTTTGTTCTAAAAGAATATAGTTACTTTGTCTTTGTCTTTAAAAAAAAAGCAAACCACAAAACCCCAAGCAAAACAAACAAAAAATAAACACATGAAGAAAAGGCAGATATTGGGCTGTACTAGGATGACTGAATGGGAATAGAGAATAAATCACATTTTATGTAATTTTTTTCTCCAGCAATCCAGTTGAAAGTATGTATGTCTTCTAGTTAACAGGATTAGAGTAGAAAGGAAAATACTGAAGTAACAAAAAAATGGATCAAGCTACTTCAGTGGCTGGAGCTACATCTACTCCAGCTTCAGTCCCAATCCTAATCTCCCACTGCAAAAATTTCCGTCAACAGCAGTCTTGAACTTCATCCTTGAAAATTATTTCAGACTATAAAGATACAGTCAGCACACACAGAGGTGTTGACAGGTCCTGGCATAAATTAAGAGGTTACCATCCCAAATTTTGTATCAGTCTTATGCCTTATAACAGTGCTGGGTGAACTGAGACATCTCCTGGATTTTCAGGAGATTAAATTAAAATGAAATTAAGTGCAGATGCTGTAGTCTGAACTGTGGCTGCCAAGGAGCTTGTGCTGGTTCTCTTTTGCCAGTTCTGCTGTGCAGGCAGTAATGAAGGGAGGAGCACCTTCTTATGCCTCTGCTCATAGCAGGTTGTCTATCAACACTCTAATTCTCCAAGTTTCTTAAGGCACAAATGAAACTGCAGTCTTCGATAACATATCTGCCTCTGGTGCCTTAGCTCCACAGTGCCATCAAAAATCTAGATGAGCTCTCTTAAAAACTGAGTCAGTCTCCCTTTATTGACTGTGGGTTTTTTTAATTAAAAATTTTTTCATTAAAAGTAGTCATTTTGCATTTTCATGTAGAAAACTTTTTGTTTCTCATCTCTGCGAAACACAAAGACGATGTCCATTTCTAGCAATTAAAAACCCTGACAGAACTGGGTAAAAGCAATCGTATTAGATGTTGTGCCATGGCCAACTTCCAGTTTTGATGACTAATTTCTGCATGTCTTAAGTCCCCTGCAATATCCACTTAATATAATATTTTCCACTTCCTGACTTGCATGGTTGTGTACAGTTGCTGTGCGGAGTTGAACAGCTAATGCTTCAGACATAGCTGTGTTTTATTTGAGAATAAAATGTCTAAACCTTTTTTTTCTTACCATCTCAGAGACCTTGTATTTTCTCCTGCACAAATAAGTGCATGTGTATGGGCAGAAAAATAGTACTGACTGTGCTGTTTGCTACTTACGCCCTTATTTGTACTTCTGAGAGGAATGTCTTTGTGTTTGGGCTCAGTCAGGGTGAAAGCTACTGTCTGAGGCAGAGATAGTGTTACACAGTGCAGTAAAAGAGAAGAAAATGCCACCCTACAGTCAAAGATAAGAGAGTCAACATGGGCTTGGAGGAGGGGAGGGGGAGTAATTAATTGGGATATAGGTATGCATATATGTGGAACTCTATATAGAGGTATATGAATATAGCTGTGATATAGATATGTGGAATCTTTCAGTTTATTTTGGATTAATGTAGTTCCTATGAAGTGTTTGGTAATCAAGATGAAGCTGAATAGTGGATGCTGCTGGGACACCCCGTTACAGAGAGGCATATTCAAACCTGACCTCAGAGCAGAAGTAAAAGGGTGTTAGCAGACATTGTCTGCAGAAAAAATTCCGTGTTTGATTCTCCCTCTCTTGTTCAGCAGGTCCAGGGTCAGCTGCCTCCATTAATGATTCCAGTATTTCCTCCAGACCAACGAACCCTAGCAGCAGCTGCACAGCAAGGATTCCTTCTTCCTCCTGGTTTCAGCTACAAAGCGGGATGCAGTAAGTCCTGTAGATCTTTTTTTAGCTGAAAGTGGATATAAGGCACAGTTTCATGACAGTCTGTATAAAAATGTCACCTAACTAATGGACAAAGCCTTTAATTTGCAGAGATGAGGGTGAAACAGAGGATTAGTCTTTACTGTATGAGAAAAGGTTTTCAGAGATGAAGTATGTGTTTTCAACATAACGGCAAAACATTTCACACAACAGGTAGATTTGGGCACCTTTTCTCTGACAGGTCTTTTTGACGAGTGAACATGCTCATGGCCATACATACGAACTTGCATCTGAAGAGAAGCTATTTGAAACTTCCAAATAAATTTCAACACTGTTGTAAGAAAACATGTTTTTTCCTGAAGCAGCCTGCTTACTATTTGTGAACTGAGGGCCTATTCTAGTCTCTTTCTTCACACAGAACTCACATTAATCTCAACGGGGGTTCTGCACAGAGATCAGAGATAGCATATGCCTTTCAGTTTGATGGACTAACACAAACTATGAGCATGTTTATGAGAGCCTAGCACTAAAAAATATAGCATCTATTTTTTTAATCTTTGAAAGATTTGTATTGTTCTCTACAATCCCCAGATATTTTATTAATTTTATTTAAGCCTTGTGTAGGATTTCACGTTCCTGTCAACAGGATGATAGTAAATACAAGTTAAGACAATAATTGAGGAACTATGTGTCCACGAACAGACTTAGCTAGAGCATGAATTTCATGGTCTAGTTTTCATATTTGTGCTTATGCAACTCTTCTGCCATCCGTTTCCTACTGAGTTATCTAGGACTTGCTTGTTCTACCCTTCTCTGTCTCTAGCATGGATGTTTAGCTTTATTTTATCCATGTCAGTGTGTGCATCGGTGTCATTGACTAACTCATGAATTCATCAGGTGTTTTGAATTACTCAGCACTTGTCACTGCAGCTGTTTCATGAACTTGGAACATAAAAAGATTTCTTGAGTTAAACTGGCTTAGCCACAATTTCAGATTTCTTTCAGTTTCTGAACATTGTAGACACACTCCTGAAGTGCGAACTGGAGTTTCTTTGTCCTCTAATACCCTTCCTTAATATTGTACAGACTGGGACCACTACTGAAAATTATTGCTCAAAACACTTCATGTCCTTCAGCAGCTGCAGTGCCAAAACATAGGCTCATTCAGTTCTTCCAGTGATTTCACACACAGTTTCTTTCAACTGGGAGAAGCAGTGATTCACATTAAAGAATGTTTAACTAAAAGCCACACTGACTATGAATGCTACCCTAACTGTAGGCCTGGAAAAGGTCAGGAAAGCACCTTATTAGATATAGCTGGCAGATTAAATTAGTTCCATGTTAATGAAGTCCAGTTTGGATAGAAAGAGTTGAGATGGTTTTTTTTTTTCCCTTCTTTTTACTGCATGCACATTAACTGTAAGGTAGTTCTATAGTTCCTCACATCTATGAAGTAGATACAACATTATGCAGTTGTGTAACCTTGAAAATGAAAAAGAAAGGAAAAAGCAAAGTTGCTACTGCTCCTGGCAGTAAGGCTTGGAATTAACTGCATGCCAAGGTCTAGGACTGAGCAGAAGCCAGTGGAAAAACAGTTCTGTGTTTGGTGATTCCCTGGCATGTTTGACTGAATTTGACTGAGAAGCTGAGGAGAAGTGATAAGTAGTCCAAAGGATTTCTTCTTTTCACTCACAGTTTAGTGTAAACAAAAAAGCATATAAGGATTTAGCTACACCTAGAAGACTTGTAGCAATGAAAAACCCAGCTGCCTTGAAACTACATGTTCACATCAAGTAATGTTTGTGACAGACCATTAAAATATACTTCTTCCACTTTTCTGCTTACCCTACTGTGTATCAGTCCACTTGACAAAGATGTAGTAGACTGTAAACCAAAGAGCTTTGGATAAAACTTTGTAAAGCACCTGAGTGATTTGGGAGACCAGATTTCCACTTGAAGAGTGACAAAGGCACTAGGATCTAAGATCGGGGATATTTAGCAAAGTACTCTAAGTATTCAAAGTACTCTAAGTACTCAAAGTACTCTAAACTTCAGTGCAGTCACCTGTGCTGGCTTGAACTGAGCTGAGTGGGTACCAGCACAGAACTGCAGCAGGGAATGTAGAGTGGAATAATTTGCTCAGCTTTTGAACAAGTTAAATGCCCGACTTTCACTGAGTTTGCTTTTGGGTGCAAGGTCTTCCTAGGAACTTTGGAAGACCCCGCTAGAAGCATCTTCACATGACTGCCATTCTGTGTTCTAATGAAAATAGGCCTCACTTCTACATCTTCCTGGCCCTTTTGGCAAACCTACTGTTTTTTCTGGACTGATACATTTTTCAGAATGATTTTGTATGGATGATTCGTAGGAATTCTCTAGCAATAATTCTTTTGTTTATTAGCATTAGCAACCTGCACATAGGACCGATAAAAATCTTTATGGGACAATTCAGTTCCAGTCACAAATAACAAGAAACTATGAAAATTTTCTTATACTGCTCCTCAATAAAGGGGAGTTTTGAAAATTTGGAGGAGAAGGAAGAGAGAATTGTTGCGACAGCCAGTACTTTCATAACTAACTAATGATCAACTGCATATGTTGATTTTGGATATCTGTTGGGGATACCTTCAAAGGGATGTTCATACTGTTTTGCACCCTTTTGAAAAGTCAGATCTTCAGTGTGTCTGAAAATCAGCAGCATGTTATCTAAGGTGCTGGAGGTCTCCCTCTAGTCAGCTGTGGACCTGGTCACACCTGATGGCTGGTTGCTGCTGTCTGCAGCCCCAGTAGCTGCAGAGAGAACCACTTCCAGCTGCTCATCACTGTGCCTCAAACTTCCAACATAAAGGCCAAGCTTCTTGGTTAAGCACTCCCTCACTTGCTTCTGTCCAGGCTGGGGTAGGAAGGACCCTCTGTTAAAATTACTTAAATGGAGCCAGCTCATTTTCCTGGAAGCATGTTGGGAAGGGATTAAACAAGCAGCTTGGTCACAGTGGTAACCTTTGGCAGGGGGCTGTGGTTGGAGATGGTGGCCTCTTCAGCCAGCACAGCTGCAGCTGGAAGAGGATGTGCGATCAAGCCTCAAAGGTCAGCAAAAGAGAAAAAATGATGAATAGCTAGTTATACTGCTGTTCTAATTTCACTCAGCTTAGATAATGGTTCTACTTTCACTCAGCTTAAATAATGAAATCAAATTAACTCAGTGCTTTCTGATTCACCTGTCCCTCCCAACAGAGGGTCAAATGTATGTCTCCCAATGGTTTCAGAGAATGTATGTGGTAGGATTCCTCAGCCAGTGCTTTCCAACAGACTAGTGACTTACCCAGGGAGAGAGAGACTGGAAAGGAAGAGTACTTTTTACTCTACATGTACTTTGTTTTCTGAGGATTTGGCTGAAAATAACACAAAAATAGTTGTAACATTAATAGCAGTGCTCTGTTTAGACTCCTCTCATGGTAGATACCTAAAGAAGAGTAGAAGAACAGGGCAGAAGTATGCTGATACTTTATCCCCCTATACTTTGCCAGGTTCCAGTGACTGAGGACTCAGGTACCTTCTGACCCAGTGGTGGGTGGCACAGTTGTGCAGTATGTTACTGAAAACAAAGAGGTTTCTTCTGCTTGTGTTCCAGCCTGATTGAAAACATTCTAGACAGATGAAATGCTCAAAAGAATACAACAATATCAATCTCTAATATGTGCAGAGCAAATTATTCAATTATACTTTTCCAAATATTTTTCAAAATTGTGTAAATACAGGGAGGAGAGGGGTAAATATTTTCTCCATGGTTACATGGCAGGTCATGGTCTTTGGCTTCCAATTTGATGCACTGAATTCCCTTTTCTTTCTTTTTCTTCACAGCAGATCATGCTTGGGAGTGGCTTGGTTTTTCATTTTGTTTTGTTTTTTTAAAACAGATGGTTTGCATTACATAAGGGACAATTTACACAAGTTGACACTTCCCCTTTTTTCTCTATGGCATATTGTGTGGTGGTAAAGTTGGCAGAGATAAAGAGAAGAACTTCTATTAGGATTACATTTCTATTTGAGAAAAAGATTCATAATCTATGCTTCCAGTTGATTTTTAACCTCCATCCCTAGTTATAATTGCATATATAAAATATTTAATATTTTTACTTACAATAAAAGTATTTATTTCTTATGAGAAAAATCAGATGGCAGTATGTGATGGACTCTATTGTCCACAATTAGCAAGAAAAATACTGGTCACCTGCTTATTTGCTCCATGCTTAGTTATCCGTGCATTGTGTGGTTTTTGAAATTTAAAGATTTTTAGTTCTATGCAAACCTCTTCACATGTATTTTATTGTGCACATAATATGTAGTTTTTATATAGATATATAATGCAAATCTTTTTATAAAGACCTGATGTTTCAAAGTGGATTACCTAAGTTAGTGACCTGCAGCATGAGCAGATGTTAGGAGTTAACCCCAGTATCCCAAGTATTTAAAATGGTTTAACAGCAGACGAGCACCTTCCATCTGAGCTGATGTTGAAAGCAAGCAGAGCCCGTTTAATGCATTTCCCAAAGCTTCTCCCACATTTGGGCTCTACAGATTGGTTCAGATCATTTAACCCTTCTTTTCTTCTCAGCCAGCATTCAATAACCCTATCATTTGTTACTACTGCTATCACTAGATCAGCTCTACTTGTGGTACTTACTGGATAATATACACGACTCCCAGCATTTTAGCAATGGCAAGTGAAATGTCAGCTCTGCTGAGGTCTGAGGAGCTGTTGCTGTTGACTTTACTGAAGTCAGATTTCACACCAGATGATACAGATCTGCTAGGGCCACTCTTAGAAATAATTAGAATTTATTTAGAGCTAATTAATATTTGTGAAGTGCTCTGAAAGCATAAAAATGGTGTAAGCGATAGAAGAGAAGAAGTTTTGTATTGTGCCCTTTAAAAACTGCATAGTTCTGCCTCTGAGGAGGCTGCTCTTCAGTCGTAGGTAGTGTGATCCTTTTATTAATGCA